ATATGTACATGCATGTATATATATATATATATATATATATGAAAAGACACATGTAATGTCTCTGCGTGTGTTTGTGTGTGTAGAGAGAGAAAGAATTCTGTGCATGTAAGCGTATGTATATATATATATATATATACACACCATATGTATATCTATATATATATGTACATGTACAGATATACAGGACATATCTATATATGTGTATGTGTGTGTGCTTATATACATATATATATATATATATATATATATATATATGTGTGTGTGTCTACATGTACATGTAAGGTTACGTCCTGCATAAACCGTTCAATCACGAGACACATAAACCCACGTGACCAAAAATGTATGTGTGTATATATATAAACACATGCAAATTATATATATTTATATATATATATACACAGGTCTATACATACAACCCCTATTCATCTAGAACTACACACAAATGCTCTATAATACACACTTACACATATGTACACATGCATGCAGGTCTATGTCGATTTCGGGCTTAGGGTTAAGGGTTTCCTAGCAATGTAGCAGCATACGTAGGTTTGGGGCTTAGGGCTACTGAGGGTTCTAGACTTATACGGATCATAAGATTTCTGCTTGTGCTCACCTGTATACATGAGGTCTCTCGCACCAATGCCGCACAGGTGTCTCCCCAGCAATGGCCGCTCGCATTGCTCGGTGCTTCAACTGAAGCTTCAGCTTCGCCAGCTGCAGCTTCAAAGATGCTCGCCGATCTGTCGCATCACAACATGGCATGGGCTATCTTCAAACTTGCATGAATGCATGAGCTTCAGCTAGAACGATATGCAATCCCAATCGAGAACAAAACAATCTCTGCACCTCGCACAGGCTGCGACGAGGTGGCCCGTGCAGCTTCCACATCTGCTTTCGTCGGCGCAATCGTAGTCGGCTCCACGGTCGAACCCTGATCTCTCGAACCTTGCTCTTCCTCACTCTCAGACACCAGGTCCACCATACGAAGTACACCGTCGCCCTCAACAAAGGCAGAAGGAACCTGTCCCGATGCCTCTGACGGATGCTCACAGCCGGGAACACTAACCTCACCCTCTGCATTGCAGTCGACAGGCATGTCTTCGGGCGGAAGCTCACAGCCGGGAACACTAACCACCTCACCCTCTGCATCGCAGTCAACAGGCATGTCTTCTGGCGGAAGCTCACAGCCAGCAACACTAACCTCACCCTCTGCCGGAAGCTCACAGCAACCAACACTAACCTCAGCCACCGTCACGTCTTCGGCCGCAGTCTCCGAGGTGCCAGAAGTATTCGTAGCTGGGCTTGGAGTCGTGGCCGGGCTTGGAGTCGTGGCTGGGCTTGGGATGATAGGGGTTGTCTTTGTGTTCAATCGCAGTCTCTTGCGAACCGGAGCCTTGCCTATCGATGCCTTTGTGAGGGCTATGTCATTCGGAACACCGACAGGAAAGGTGCCACTAATGATGCAATCGAACAGTTCCTCAGCTGTGCAAGATATAGAAGCCCCAACAATCCCAGGTTTGCCACAATCCAACTGTGCCTTTAATCCAACGAATGCAATGCGGCCCCGATGCTGAGACCTCCTGAACTTCATCATCCCGTCGTGTCTTCGATCGGCCCTGCAAACGACTGTGGAGGTTCAGGCTCTTCTTAATCACCCAAGCTGCCGCATTGCATTGGCTCAAGGTCATGTCAACCTCGAAGTTGTCATGTCATTCTTTACATGATCACTGAATCACATATCTATTTCCACACAGTTTCTTGCATACGAAAAACACTCCAGCGCTCGGCGACTTGCATCAGTGCCCATTCAAGAGTCGGAATCCCAAGGAGGTTGGGATTGAACATCAATCTCGGCATCACTGCACTGAGCAAAACCTGGGCTGTGCAGACACACACACACACATACAAATAATGCGAACTTAGACATTCCATAAGGGTTACGTTGCATGCTTATGCAAGTTACCTATATGCATACATATATATATATGTATATGTATGTATTTGTGTATATATATACACACATATATGTATATATATATATATATATATAACGTGGAAGCATATTTATTTATGTACAGTGTGTATATAGGTATGTGTGCATACATACATACATATATATATATATATACATAAATATGCTTGTGTATGTATATGCATATGTACAAATATGCTTGTGTATGTGTGCATATATATATATACATACATAAATATATATATATATATATATATATGCACATGTACACATGCGTAAAGTAATGTATTTGTGTCTGCATGCATGCCAATATATCTCAATACGTGTATATATGCATGTGTGTATGTGTGCAGGAGCAAAGCCCTTAGAGACAGCAGTGATAAGAACATATAGATATGTGTATGTATAAAGACACATGTCTGCACATGCGAGCATCTGTAGTATCTACACACATGAAGTGTCTTGGGAAAACACGATATACACATACCTATATACATATACATGTACACATGCATGTATATATATATATGTGTGTGTACACATGTGTGTACATATGCATGCACACACTCATGCATACTAAAACCCTTATGGATGTGGGAATTCCATCACTACTGGAATCTTCACCAACGAATCCAATGCACTCATGAGGCACCAAGGAGTATAGCTATGAGCGATATGAGCTCAGGCCGCCGTCGCTGCGGACAGGTACATATAGTATATGTATTTGGATACCTCGGGTATTGGCACAAGCGAGAAGCTTTGTTCTGCTTGATTGTCTCCGACCTGATCGTGATCTTATGCTTCTTTTCCTTCTTCTTGTCTTTCTTGTCCGATGGCGGCAATACGACGAACTCCTCGACCAAAAGAACCCTGGCCTTAAGCACCTTGTGGTTGCAGATATCCTTGGAATGCTTCACATGCGGTCGTCATGTTCCTAATACACACACTCTCTCTCTCTCTCTCTCTCTCTCTCTTCCACCCACTCGCTCTCTCACTCTCTCTGTCGCTATCTCTCTGTCCCTCTTCATCTCTATATTCCTCTTGCATATAAAGGTTCCTCGACCAGCTGAAATGCAGCGAGGTTGTCGTCGGCATTCAGCACACAGTGAGAGGGAGGAGCAGCATCAGAGCTGAAGGAAGCCATTGGACCGGATGGTCTATGTATCTTTACGAGTATCTCAAGCTTTGCCGGACGTCGGTTTGCACGTCTGGGGCCTAAAGTGTCGTGCTCCAGGCTAAGACTTCTACAGAGTGGCACCGATATGTATTATAGTGCACCTGAAAGGTCTAAAAGACTTAGCTACAATTTAGGGCTTTTGGGTTTAAGCCTTAAGGTTTCGGGTTTAGGGTTTAGGGACTTGGTTACAAAATAATCACAATAACCGTCAGCCTGGCTGTCCTTCCTGCAGCCTCGTGCCATCGTGTCACTGCCGAACAGCTGGAGTCGATGTGCTTCTTCCTACAAACCTATACTCCCTCAAAGTTGCCTCTATAGGAGGTGCGAGAGAATAAACCCGATAAGTGCACCCAGCCTATATATATATGCTCACCCCCCCCCCGGTGACAGACCACGGGTCTAAAAAACACCGTGCACAACGATATTCTGTGAAGCAAAACCGTTACATGAGGTATATAGTATAGCACCAGACGTGCGGCACATGAGTTACGTAATAGTCTTGTGGTAGTATCGGTATTAGGGTGAGTATTGTTATTAATATTAGTACTATTGCTTGCTGTAAGTATACGTATCAATATTGCCAACTATAAATTAGTGTTAGTGCTCATGTTCGTGTTAGAGTTAGCGCTAGTGCCAGTGTCAATGTCAGTAATACAGCACCACTGCTACGAGTAGTATCAGTATCAGTCTTAATGCTGGGTTTAACAGCAGCTTATATTCGCAGAAGTGCTAGTATTAGTATCAATATTAGAACTAGTTAGTTTTGATATGTTAGTATATTGATAGTCTCGTATATTAGCAGATTAGTATATCAATACATCAATGTATTCGGACAGCAAAATATTTGCATACTTGTATACTAGTATATTTTACATGTTAGTACAACTGGTGCATGACTACACTACTATACTGCTGTATTAGCTTACTAGTATATTGACATACCAGTATATTCGTACGTTAGCATATTAGTGTACGAATATGTGTACTATATTACTGTTTTATCTAATCATGTATAAGTATATCAGTATGTTGGCATATTAGTATACGAACTTGTCATGTCGGTATTCTTGCATAGTGCAGTAGCCGTATATGATTATAGTCACATATTCGTATAGTATATTCATACAACAACGAGAAGTATATTGATACATTGGTATATGGGTATATGCCTATGCCAAAGCATTAATACATGAATGCACTGATGTATATATCTGTATCTTAAGATAGTGGTACGTATTTTATGTACATGAGTATATGCAGGTGTCTATTAGTAATGGTATTAGTTTTCATATCAATATGAATATACTATTGGTATTCGTAGGAGTATTAATGTCAATACTAGTAGAAGTAGGACTATTTATACTCGTAATAGCCATAATATGAATGTTCATGCTGGTAATACTAGTGGCATTCTTGAATATGCAGCAGATTATCAAAGTCCGTATTAGTGTTGGTGATAGCACTACTGTTAACGCACAAGGGTTTACGTATTCGTATTCGTAGGAGTATAAATAGCTATGTAAATATTGATGTTAGTATAGATTTTGTGTTAAGTATTAGCAGTAGTGTTAGCGTTAGTACTAGCATATTATTGATGATATACATTCGAAAGAATGTTTGTATTGTTATTACTCTTGACCACGTGAAATTCTAACAGTTGAATTCATGAGTGAGTTAAAGGATTTGTATTTTAATATGGTGGTATGCATGTTTATGTACATTAGTACATACAGGTGTGTGTTAGTATTGGTATTATTATACATTATTATCAATATGAATATGGTTATTGATATGCGTAGGAGTACTAAGAGCAATACTAATCAATCTTAGTATTTGTGTTATGCATATTCGTACTAAGCTTTATAGAAGTGTAATATTAGTAGTAATGCTGGTATTAGCTTGAGCATTCAACAAATGATCAATGTCAGTATGTTCAATGGCAATACTATATGTAGGAGTATCAATACATATATGTATATATAGATATACAGATAGATAGAGAGATATTCGTGTAAATATGGGCATGAGTATTGACAGCCCTTGCCTTTGCAAGTAATCTGGTCCGATGCGGAGACTAGCACGACAAGGCGCGCGGGTGTCCTACCAAGAAAGGAATTACAGAGCACACGTGTATGGATGAGGGTTGTGCTGATACACTACATAGTAAGCACTACACAGTAATCTTACTTGAGTCATATATAGAACAGATTCCAGCATTTCCAAAATTTCCAAAATTTCCAAAATTCTCTCCCCTAACTTTCCGCATTTCCAAAATTTCCAAAATTTCCAAAATTTCCAAAATTTCCAAAATTTCCAAAATTTCCAAAATTTCCAAAATTTCCAAAATTTCCAAAATTTCCAAAATTTCCAAAATTTCCAAAATTTCTAAAATTTCCAAAATTTCCAAAATTTCCAAAATTTCCAAAATTTCCCGACCTAGTCGACAGGATTTTTCCAAAACATAAGGGCGGACTTTTTGGAAATTTTGGGAAATTTTGGAAATTTTGGAAATTTCGGAAATTTTGGAAATTTTGGAAATTTTGGAAATTTTGGAAATCCGGAAAGTTAGGGGAGAGAATTTTGGAAATTTTGGAAATTTTGGAATTGAGGCTTTGAAAGCTGAGTGCCCCCTCCCCCCGATCACAGACCATGCACTACGACTGAGTCGAAAGGGCATGGTCTGTCATGGGGGGGGGGGTGACCATATATATATATATATATATATATATATACCTATAGTCTCCATTGTAGTTCCTTTTTGTGGTTTAACCAGTTTTATAGTAGGGATCCGAAAAGCTAACCCCAAAAAGGAAGTACAATGGAGACTATAGGTATATATAGTATATATCTATAGTCCCGTTAAGCGTTGTTTATGTTCTACGAACTATATATATCTTTTGGCTCCACGGTACTTTCTTTTTGGGAACAAAACTTCTAGGGTCTCTAGGGTCTTCAATATTTCTTGAATATGTTATATTATAAAAGAAACTACCATGGAGTCCTATAGGATGCGTGTATATATATATATATATATATATATAATGATATATCCGTATACGTATGTATTCCCTATAGAGACCGTATATAAGCCCTACAAGCACCACACAAGCCCTACATCAACCCCAAAAAATGCCGAACCCAAAGCCCTATGTGAATCACTGCTGATCAATCCCTCGCATGACGAAGAAAAGCGCGAGCCCAGTCTCACCTTCGGAAAACCAACACCCAGAGACCGACGGCTCGCTAGGGCCTCCAGAAACACTTCCAAGAACCCTAGAATAGGACCATACCCAATAGAAATGTAGGCGATGTAGTTGTGTAGACGTCCCGGTTCATAGAAAGATGCTATATATGGGCATTATGGGGAATTCAGCTATACGGTTATATTCAGACATACAGGGATGTTTCAAAGCACTTTCGAACAGTCAGGCCATACACACCCAAGCCCTTTGTAGACCCAAAGCGTGTCATCATGAGAAGAGCAGATCCCTCTACCTCGTCTTTATGTAGACTGTACTGCAGGAAGCCTGGAGCCGTGA